GAAATCGATCTCAATGATTGATTCATAAATCTCTTTTTTTTCTATTGTTAGTATTTCTCTCGCTTTTATTTATGGCTTTAATTAACCTCAATTCATGGATGGTACCTTAATATTACATATTTAGTTTACTTATTTTTTTGCCAATACTATAAAATCATGTTGAATTAGTTAAGAGACAAACATTGAACTATCAACATAATGTAGCTAAAGTTTTCATGATAACAGACATTAAAATGCTACCGAAACAATAGTTAAATCTTCATGTCAAGGACGATGATGGTAAAAAGCTTCGTTTGTTCCATCACTGTCCCAAGACCAACTTAAAATGCTTTGGATCTTCTCATGACGAAAAAAAAATAGGACTCTAAAAATCTTTGAACTATAGTATAAGATATCAATGTGAAGCCGTCATATTTTTGACGCATGACAAAGACGAAGGAAGATGTCAAGTAGTTTTATTCTGTCATTTTTCTGTAAGCAAAGCCATGATAGGTTTGAGATTGACTGGAATTTTTGCATGTGACATGTTCGCATAACATTAGTTTTTTCTATTCTTTCTTGGTTAGGCTAATAATTCTTTCAAACTTTGTAAATATTAATAACTGTTCTGATTTGAATTACTTTTTCTTATTCATATTTTTTGATCCTATAATATGGAATTCATGAAACAGCGAAATTTTTATATTTTTTCATGAAAAAGATTTTCTGTGAGATCTGTTAGTATATAGCTTATTTCATTAAATATACTAACTCTACTAAAATATAGCAAGATCCAAACGAATCAATAGGACTTGAGCAGATCTTGCTTCTGTTGTGAATGTGTTTCTACTCCAAACCACACTCTTTGCGTATACTTCTGATCTGACTCTTATTTTCGAAAAACGAAAAGAAGCTGTAAGTGTTAGTACGGTAGTATCTTGCAGGTAGCGATTCTATGTGCGAATACATCACGCAAGAAGTTTGATGCAAGACTGTATTGGGAAAGATAGACACCAAAAATACCTGACAGTGCTCATCAATCTGGAAGGATGAAGACGAAACGTTTCAGTCACATAGCATCTGGAAGAGTGAGCAGAAAAACTACGATCTATCCTGAGTACCTTTTTAGCGTGGACGAAAAGCTTCAGGTCATACATGAATGCCTTGGACAATAACATTTTTTCTATTGAACTTCGTGAAAATTTATTAAAGTTCTTAGATACATCATCAGCAATATGGAAAAAAGAGTCTGGCGTGTTGTAATAATTATGTGTATTCTTTGAATGATAGATTATATGTTTTAACAAGAAGCTCAGCCTTCTTTGAGTGTAAAGATATCATTTAACTATGCAAATGATAATTATGATCTATAAACAGTGATTGTTATAAAATACCGACAAGTTTCGTACACCATTCAACAAGAGGTACAGAAAACCTTTCAATACCTGAAATAAAATGTTGTCATAAAAATACAAAACTAGATGAAATAATATCAAATCTAAAAAAGAGAAGGGAGTGTGGATGGGTTTTTGCTGTATGTAGGTGTCAGATGTAGATAGGGATGCCGGTGCAAGTGAAAAGAGTACCTACACCCACATTCTCATACTTACTGTGAATACAAAGATAATGCTTTGTATAAATAGGTAGCTTCAAATTATAAAGTTTATTCAATATATAAACAGTCAAATTACAGTTATAGACACTGTTGATAAGGAATGTATCAAGTTGATTTCAGAACAAATGAATTTAGGTTAACTAGAGATAATTTTAGTTCGCGAATAGTTACAACTTCTAGTTAAGATTCAGTAATTACGATAATTTAATTCAAAATTCATTGTTATGACTGTTTTATTGGATAGTTTATCATTCGATCATGCCGCTGACGATATCTCTTATTTGTCATCAGAGATTCAGAATGAATGACATAGAAGCAATGCTAGTTTTTTTTTCAACTTTTTTATGAAAGAAAAAAATACCATCATCATCTTTGTTTTATCACCAGGAAAAAATCTTGATGATGGTAAATACGCTTTCAAAAAATTATTAGAATGATGTCCAACTATTTGATGATTTCTGATTACGCCATTGCTTTATCAAAAGCAAAATATTAATGGTTTTTTTGTGAACACTCACGCCATTTTCATGAGTGCATAAATTCTTATTATTTGTTTGACCTAACACTTGTTGTGTAATAAATGGCAATCTCGGTATTTTATTCCATATTTTAGTCTACTCTCATCAATTCTAAACAAAGTTTTCTTATAAAAATTTATTGTTCAATTCGCTGCGAAATTATGTGTTTGTTTTAATGAAAGCATACTTTATAGTCTTTAGATACACAGCACAAAAAACATGACTAGAAAATTTACTTCTTCTCAAATTATTCTTTTTACAAAATTTTACTATCACATCTTTAGACTTGCATCTGTTACTATTCGTGACTTAAAATCTTTTTTCATAATGAATACTCTAACTAATTAATTTGCTGGAAAACTAATGATCCTTATCAATATAAGATGGGAAGTCGTTTTACGACGCCATCATTGAATTGAATGATGGTATGTATGGTTCAGCGTATGCGAACCCGATATAGTTCCTAGGAAAAAATAAAAAAATTTATACATGGCATGCAAACTGAATGATCAGCATTCAACCTAATGTTGATTCAATTTATTGATTTTGCTGTGTATCAAAAAATTATGAAGCATGCTTTCATTAAAAGAAAGATACAATTTCGTAGAGGATTAAGCGATGAATCTTTCTATAAAACGACATGGTCTCGAAATGACTAGAATAGGCTAAGATATTGAGAAAAATACTAAGACTGTCATTCATTCTACCACATCCCTTTTGTTGTTTTCTCACCAATCTTCTTTCAGATAAGTTATAACTCTACATGACATAATCACAAGTAAGACTATGAAATAGTATATCAAGCATCTCTACTGAGAGTAACAATTAGATTGGATCTAAATTTGACGGCAATATATCTCTTCAATGTGTAACCCCTATTGTCCTGTTAAGTCTTTGTCTTACACTTTTTTTAATTTCGATTTTCCTTTTTGAACAACATACTCAAACGATTTTGTCTTTTCGTTATCTTCTCTATATACATATAAATGATTAAAATTTGATCGTCATTCCCAATCATAGACTGTGATAAATTTACATGCTTCAGAAAAGTAAAATTTTAAAGAATATGACAGAGGTTTCTTGAGACTAGTTCGGCAAAAATTTTTGAAACTTTCAGGGAAGATAGATCTTGATGATTAGAACAAAAGTTGTCCTAGACTCAAAACTTCCAAATGCTTTCTTCTGGAAGATTTTGGCAGGACAAAGGCCAAAAATGGCCTTAAGTTTTCCCCCTCGTAAACGGGCATACACGTTTTCCAGGATTGAATTTTCTTCTGTGGCAACTAGAAACAAATGTGGGTGTGTCATTTTTTCTTTGAAAACTATTGTACCTGTGGCTCAGGAGAAGCAAAACACTGGAGACACTATCAAAAAATTATTTAAAAAAGCTTCTTTTTAGATGGTGCCAATTTTTGTAAGGTCTACAAAACTTCATCCATACAATATTTTCAAAAGAAAAAAAAAGGACATCCCGATTTGATCGAAGTACCCATAAAAAAACGTTTGAACCCAAGAGGCCTTACCGTTTAAGAGAAAAAGGAGGAAAACTTCAATTTTTTGTTTGAAACTCACCTTTTGAGAAAAAAAGCAAAGAAAGTTGCATTTTTTGGCTTAGCGCAAATTGAGTTTTTTTTTTTTTTGAGGTTTTAACATGTAAAAAAGTGTCTTCGTCTTCTTAAAATGTGCTCAATACATAGAGGACATCTATATCTACATACCAAATACAAAAAATAAAAAACGAAAAAACTGAAAATAATTCTAATAAAATTGAAAGATTAATTAGATGTAAAATAAATAGCTATATATATATATCAGTTTTTATAAATTGCATATACTATGAATCGATAAAAGTTTTGTCCATTAGAGTATTTTCAATAAAGAATTCGTAAAGGTGCAGCAAATTTGGTGCGTGAGTGTAGGTGTGGATGTGCATGTGTATTATCTTCTTGTCGTACACTCACACCCTTGATTTATTCAGTATTTTTGCACAAAAGCTCTTCATTATATCCCTGGCATCAACAAAATAAAGACATTGTGCATTCTAGTATCCGCTAATACTTTTCGTTTCATACAATAGATCAAATGTTACATATTTTAGTTCTGTAGGAGTTGCGTTGAAATCATTCTTATTTGTTAGTATAGTCTTGTGATGTGCGTGCCACATTTCAGCCAGATCGGGATTTCACTGACGAGTTTTTTTCAACGAATATGAAAAGACAATGTTAATTATCGAAAAATTTTGATATTTTCTCTCTCGATTGGTGGCTTGAAGGTGGAGAAAGAGAAAAATCAATATTGACGCATCAATATAATTCATCGAAAATCAGTTCACTCTCTTTTTCTTTCTGTAACCAACTACGTCAAAATTCAACAGAAGAAATGGTCTGATGTGTATGTAATTCTTTTTTCACACATACATTAGTCATCAATACGAAGCAAAAACGTATTTAAAAAAAGTCAAAAATATGTGTAACTCCTTCATTTATTGCAATTTTAGACAAGTGCAGACATGGTGGAAAATCATCCTTTGATATCTCAATTCAAGAAACATTTAACTGGCAAGTTTTTAATTCGTACATGTTCTTGTCTTTTTACTAGGTCTGTGTGTTTTCATTTAAGATAATGTCAAGTCTTCTACTCGTGACGAAAAGCATTTTAAGAGCTTACGTAAAGAGAAAGTAATTGACATTGCTCAACTCAAACCGGGAGATCATGTCAGTTTTTACAACCGTGTTCTTTCCTATTCATATCATGGAATTGTACGTGAAGTTCGTACTAATTATCTTCTTGTTATACATTATTTCAACATAATAGAAAATGTTTGGAATTCATTAATCCAAGGTTCATTATACCTTACCGAAGTTATTCAAAGCGAATGGAAAGTGATAATGAATAGTGATAATGAAGAAATTTATGTACATCATTATGATAATATAAAATGTCTTTCGAATGAAGCAACTCTAGAACGGGCTATTAATTATCTAGGAAAACGTGACTATTCCTTAGTCGGTAATAACTCTGAACATTGGGCAAGATGGTGTCGATCGGATGATTCCTATTCCGAACAAGCTATTAAACTTCATAATTTAGTTAAAGACAAAGCGGCTACACTTTTAATTATCGATCCCTGTGCTTTACTTGTTAAAGATGTAGCCATTGTTGATACTCAAAGTCTTGGACCATTTCTAGGTGCCATAGGATCAGGTGCCATTTTTACCGCGGTCGCGAGCATTTCAACATTTATTGATATAAAAAAAGAACGAAATAAACGGCGAAAAGGAGACTTGAGCGATATTGCTTTCAAGAAATATGTCGTACGACGCATTGCATCAACATCCGGCACTGTAAGTGATTATTTTACTAACAAATAATGCAAAATAATGCGCACACTTATTCAGGCCATTGGAAGAACAACAGGTACCATTGTTGGTACTATTCTTATTCCTGTGCCCATTCTAGGCTCTGTTGTCGGTGGTGTTATCGGTGTTGTGAGTGGGAAAATGATTGGTAGTCTATCGGGTATTGCCATATCGAAAGTTCTTGAAGTACACGAGAAAAAGAAACAAGAAAAGATAGATCAAATGAAAACTGTTTTACAACTCTTGGCTGAATTATCGCCAGAAAGTCAATTTTTCCGAGGCTTGAGGGCATTTGTACTCGATTCTGAACAAGCAGCACGAGCAGAGACAACTTCTGACTCATCAGTACTTTATTCATTTTTTGAACAACTGGGGCGTGTATATTCGAGTTTGACAAAAGACGAATGTCAAATGGAAACTCAACAGATGCAGACGATATTTTTAGATTCAAACACTTTCGAATATTTTGTGCTTACACCAGTACCTGACGAAAATTCACCTGAAGAGTTCGCATCGACTGTTGATTTACTTTTACTTCGATGGCCAATTCGACAACCACAACCATGGAAGATCGATGAAGAACACGTACTTGATATAAGTGACTTAAATAGAACAAATGCATGAGTCTAACAATTCCGAATCGTTCGAAGGAGTCACCATATGTTTTCCTTATCGAAATCAAATTTTAAGTATAGCGAGACTTAATCAATGTATCAAATATTCGATATGAAGAATTTCTCACACATTTCACTATTCTCTATCATATCATTCTCAAAGAACTGGTGTGGGTGTGGGCGTGCGTTGGTGGGGTGTGAAGTATGGGTGTGCGTATACGTAGGTGTGTAGTGCGAAAGTGGTCTTTATAAGCCCACATCCATACCCGAATTAAAAATAAAACGAGATCCACAATAAGATCCTAGAGATAGATTTACTGTAGAATTTTTGTTTATATTTATATCTTTAAATGTACAAATTGTATCCTTAATGAAAGTCTAACCGTAACATTCATGACCGTTAACAATTAAAAAGTTACAACCAGTTTTAACATTGCAATTTAAGTTTAATCATAATGAATAAATTCATCATTGATAATTAAACTCATATGAGTTAGCATATCCTCACAATTAACTTGATCAATTTCTTGATCTTTCGTACATAATAGTTGCCATATATCATGTTTTAGGATAGAAAGAAATTAAAAATGTTTCATCCATTTTTATTGCTGACTGAATAGATCATAGAATATCCAATAGAAAGGTAATTAAGATTGAAGTAGATAATGATAACTTATTTTAAATCGAGTTATATTTTCACGTTAAAATGAAATATCTATTGAAAAATCATCGTTTCAATGCATTTTTATTTTGTTCGAACATGTTACATGTTTATTATTTAATAAAATCTTAAAATAAAAAATATAGAAATGCTAATTATTTCAATTGAACATTATCATATTTCTCATTATGCATCAGTAAATGTTTTCATTTCTTTGAGAATATTATCGAATTCGGCTGGTGAATATAACATAATCATCCGAGCTGATCATCTATTGATGATTCTAACAGCGTAAGATGTATTTGGTGAAACATGAATTTTTGTTCCAGTTTGTGCAACACATATATTTTAGTACCCAAACGAAATTTGACGTCTCTATAGAGAATATGAAATTTTTCGACATGTTCCCCATGTACAAGAAGACTAAGTTTGGATATTGGTTTCATAGCATTTTGCGTCTCGATCATCTTTGAAAACTGAATAAAGTATTGCAGGGTTGCTCTTAGTTCCTAAATTAACAGTAACATATATTGAAGGTCACACACATTCACACAATCCAATGTATATTTCAGCGTGAACAAAAAATTGCATTGTCATGCTGACTATCATATTTAATTGGGTATTTCCTTTCATTTATAAAGATCGATAACGTCGAATATCTGATGAATACTAACACAACAGAAAACAACAGCACTCATCTCTTGTCTAGAAACAAGATGAAAAAACAAGCGTACAGTATTCATCTCAGTATTAAGTATAGAAGATGGGCAATTAGCTTTCGAATAGAAGCATACTAGCTTAATTGAGAATTATCTTTAAAAAAATCAAGAATAATAGATCATTTTGTACTTATAAAAAGATTAATAAAATCCAGGACTTCAAAACACGACTAAACGTTTTTGAATTATGACGAACAAGTTTACATAAATATATTCTTTTCTCGCTCATTTCTATTTAACTGAACTCATCTTTCGAGTGATACGATCTTCAATTCACTTTATTCTTTTGTTTTAGCATTGAAATCAAAGGAACATCATCGGTATTCAATAGAAATGACATTCAAGTTATCCTTTCTCTTGAATAATTTCATAGATAGTGTTTTGTGTTTTTTTCTGACATGCTTAGATATATCAAGTTATCTAAAAACTTTTTGAAAATGATTGACTACACAAACACAAATACAAATACTTTTTAAAAATGAAGCGAAACGAAATTTACTTTGATGAAAGAGGTATGGGTGTGGAGTGTGAGTAGTAGAGGTATGTGAATCTTCATTTCATTCATATTCACATCCTACACTTACAACCATACCCACATCCTATTTAGCCATATTTAGGAGAGATTGCTCACTGGTTAATAGTTCTTTCTCGTGAATCCTATTTTGATAAGAAGGTAAAAGTATCGAAAATAAAAATAGCGAAAACGAAAATGAGAGATCAAAATGAGGAAGTAAGAGTGAGGACGATTATGGTGAGATTTCTTTTTTTTTTCACACACTATCATTTTCAATGTTTCCGCTGTTCGACACCTCTATTATTTTCCTTTTCGATATTTTTATTGTTGACATTTATTTTGGCAATAGTAGGATAAATTTGCTATCTATGTGATACAACGATGAAAACCGTATCGACTTGTCGAATGATTCGATTCGCCTCAATCTAATTCTGTTTTGATGTAGACGCTGTCAAAAAGAATAAAGCCGAATGAAGGTTTTTCACTAAATCGAATCGAAATTCGTTCATTCGTTTCGCTGATTGATATGCTATAGTCCATTAAGCAGAATCAACGTGAACAAAATGCAATAGTGCCCGTTTGCTTGTTTGCAGTGTAACTATAGACTTTCTCAGAAAAGGAGAGTTTAGAATGTAGACTTATCAGAAAAAATTAACAATCTCCTTCTAATATATACAAAACTACTTTAAATTTCAAAAAAATAATGTTTCAACTGTATATAGAACGCAATCTATGATATGAAAACTGCATCTATATCTATTGAAATGACATCAGTATTACTTTTTTTTTATCGCTTTGTAATATATGAAACTTCGTTTGTGTACACTGCCTTTGAAAACAAGACGTATACGTCCATTTTATTCATATAAATAAAGTTTACGCAATCTTCTTGTTTTAGATTTTCGTTAAAAAACTTGATCACGATCACGCGTGACCTTGATCATGATCGTGGCAGCCACTAAAGACACTAACACTCACATTTACCCTATTAGTGATAGTTTCATTTGATACAGGAGAAAATGTTATTCAACAATATCTTGTGTCTTCAACATGTTTGTCAATGCTTCTGAAAAGTTTTCTATCAATTAATAAACAATGTCTATATTGGCATAAGCTTCTGCACAGGATAACGAACGGTCGGAGGATTGTAAATCTATATTTTGTTATGATGCATTAATATTTGTTTGTATTTTTCTAAAGTATTGTACGTTGCTAAGAGACATGGTTATAGACAGCTTTTCTTCTTGGATCATCCTCTGACATTTGTATAAACATCGGCATATAAAAGTGTTCAAGTTTTTCAAATTCATCTAACTTGTGTAACAATTAACCAAATGCAATTATATCAAACTCATTACTAAGTTCTTGTCTCATACATAATCTTCATCATTCTCATCATTCAATATCAATTTCATATGCCAGAGAGCCTTTCGTCTTCACTGATCAATTGGCTTCGATCTCGAATACAATGGATAGGTCGTTAACATTTCTCTTGATTCTCAACTGCACATTCTAAAATCGATATTATGGTTGGCTCATGTGAAAAATATCGATGTTTGATGAAAATCGTATCTTTTTGTAATTGTCATCGAATTTCTTTTAAGCATTCATACATTTGTCTTAAAAATCGATCAAACCTAATATCAATTGCAGAAAATGTACTATTAACATTTATTCAATCAGTAAAGAAGTTGCAACACAGAAAAACTGGAAGAAAAAATGCTATCATACTTTGCTTGTTTTCTAGAAAAATAAACCACAGGAGACTTCTCATTCAAAACTTACGTCTGAATGAATTTTCATCATTATTAAGTCTATTTTAGGTAGGAGTGTCTGATTCGACTTATCCTTTTCTATGACGCATTTTGATCCAATATAATTTTCGAATTTTTAGCGTCAAAACATCATGATTTGATACATGGAGACGAAAATTCCGGTGAACATTTTGCATACTCTTGACTACATTTCGAGAATAACTGTATCTCAAACGGCTTAACATTTGTGGAATGATAAGCTCCAGAAGAGTATAAATTTTTCACTCGTTTATTGCATGATACCGTAGTAAAACACCTTTCAAGGTACTCAAGGCAACTGGTCTCCACTGATATTTCGATCCATGTTTTCTTGATCGTTGTAATAGGTCTAATGAAGAAACCAAAGCAAAAAAAACTGAAGATTAATCTACGAATGTACAATGTAAAATTCGCTCTGGCATTTCTTCAACAGTGTAACCAAGCGGTTTTCGTGTCGAGATTTGTATGTTTTCGTCCCGCGAATCCTCATCTACACGAAAACAGGCTCATTTATCAATGCACTAAAAATAGCATTGGAGAAGAAATAAAATTTAACGAGAGAATTTTTTTTAAAGTTTGAACACAAACATGAGACTACTATTGATTTGAGTAGACGCTTCATGTCTCCAGTTCAATAGAGAGAGTCATCGATCATTCTCACATGAGGGGATCGAACTCAACAGTAGAGAAGACTGAATCTGTCGGTGGAAAAATGATTATCTATTTCTATGAAATAGATGTCGCAATCTAACGAGCGCTGATTTGTCGTTCGAAACTAGTGTTACTTTTTCTTTCAATTGGTGCTCTAACAGAACAAGTGATTGACTTACTCATCGTGAATAAAGAACAGTTCAAAATAATAATCAACAAGCATCATTGAACCAAGTTTGATATATCAATCGATAACAAACCACTTGATCATTTCAAATACCGATTTCCACAACTTTTGGATACTCTTGAAACGAGATAATATGTTCATAAACTATATCTGGATATTTTTTTTTTGGAAAATTAAACAGCTTAGCAAATTTGGCTTCTAGTATTTTAGAATGATTTCGATGTTTATTGTTTAATTTTACCGCAAACGTGTTAATTTTTTTCTTGAGTTATATCCTCATATTTCAGAACCGAATTGTTTTTAATTTTCTGATTACAGATTGTACATTTTCGTTATAAATATCTATTTTTTATTCGTAGAATGATTCTTTTTGTGGCAAAAGAGCTCGGCATTATCCATTGAGAAACCAAGCTGCAAACGTGAATAAAATAATTAAAAACAAGACCACAAGCATAAATAATTGATCTATTCAAAAATATCGTCAAAACTATTGGCAGCATTGTGAGAATACCAAAAACTAGTCTGCAAAAATATTGCACAAAAACAAAGAAGCTAGCGTGTTTACCAACATCTACATCATCTTTTATGACTACAATTTTAAGCTTCAAAACTGAAACGTGTTGTACGGAGTCTCTCTTTGTATGTGGCTTAATTTTGTAGAAAAATGTAAAATTCAAAGTAACTCTTTAGAAATTGCCTATTTTTGAAATCTTGTGACACTTACTAATTTTTGAGCGACTCAGATCTACCTAAATTGAAATAAATGAAACTTTTGCTGATAATGGTAGGACTAGAAGATTCCTACCTTCTATGTTCATGAAGATATACGTAGCTCACAGAAAGTGAAATTCTGTAACGGTTGACCAACTCGATGTGTATCTTCTTTCCACCGATTTGGTTTTAGTCATATACCTATGCCTCTTGAATATTTTTAGGATTATTTCGTAAGCGTAACAAAATTATTTTTAATATTGCTCTTAGTCCATTACGATGCCATTTCGAGATCAATGGCGTGATGTGCAAACTCTACATCATGATGGAATGCCAATCGATACTAACAACAATGAAACAGCCAAATTGTTTGATGCAGCACTAACCCAATACATAGGCAGGTAAAAATATTACGGATTTATTCTGGTTAGACGACTTCTTTCGTAAGGTACAATGACCAACAAATGAATGGCCTCAAAATGACTCTCACTCGTCTTCTGTCATCCGATCCAACTTGTATTACAAGTCGAATTTTGAATGCTGCTCTCCATTTACCTTCTCTTGTATGTCCACCGTCCTTGCTTCATTCCAAGATTGCTCAAACTTTGGGCGATATTACTTCTTCCAGCACCTATATCAAACTTCATACACAAGCTCTTCTTTATTGGTCACTTGGCTATTTATCGCTTGCAGCTGATACTTGGGAAACTCTACTTCTTAGTTATCCGTTCGATATTATGGCCATTAGATTTGTTTCTGACATATATATCTATCTCGGAAATCGAAATATGCTTCGAGATTCGATAGCTCGTATTTTACCTATTTGGGAATCATCGTCATCCAATCGTCCACTAAAATCCTATTTGCATGGTATGTATGCATTCGGTTTGGGTGAAATGAACATGATCGAATATGCTGAGAAAGAAGCTCGACTAGGATTGGAACTCAACGAACATGATGCATGGGCAACTCATGCATTGGTTCATGCCATGGAATATACGGGTCGAACATCAAATGGCATTGAGTTTTTAGAAAAAACGCAACAACATTGGCGAAAGATCGATATGGTTGAATCACATCTGGACTGGCATTGGGCGTTGTACGCTTTAGATGAAGATAACTGGGAAAAAGCGACAGAAATTCTTGAAAATTATTTTGTAAAATGGACAGATAAAACAATAAGTACATTGAACTATGTCGACGCTGCGTCATTAATCTATCGACTCAAATTAACTAGACATCCTTGTTCATCGAAATTGTTTTCTGTACTAAAAAACTTTCTGCATGATCATCTTAATGATCATCGGCTATTGTTTACAGATTTCCATCACTATTTCGTTTTGGAGAATTTTGTTGATATTCATACGAAAACTAATTTTATTCGTTCACTTAAAGAAACATTCGAATCATCTGATTCAGACTATGGTAAAGTATATCATCGAATTGGTAAACATATTTTTGCTGCTATCGATCGTTTCGATGAGGGTGCTTATGCTCAAGTGGTAGACATTCTATACCCAATTCGAAATCAATTTTTTACCATTGGTGGATCAATTGCTCAACAAGATGTGTTCAACTTATTACTGATCCATTCGGCTGTATATTCAACTGAGAATCGACATCGACAATTAGCCAAACAATTGATTAATGAACGATGCCAAATGCGAGGGCCAAATAAGTCAAAAATGATGGAAAATTATGCGAATGCCATTCGAGAAGATTGATTTTTATATCGAATTTTGATATTTTTCAATATGTAAGTGTTTTGTCGATCAGAATAAAATGTAACACTTGAGTTTTTCGTCGAAAAAAAAACAAAGTTGCGATATTGAATCATTCTTTTAAGATGTGAAATGAGAGATATTTATTCAAAAATATTACTTGAAAGAAATAATCTTTTTTTGTTGTATATTAATTTCTTACATATCATCGGTGAGCAGCGTGTAGGTCTTGATTTAAGTCTTCAGTTCAACTACAACTACACTCACATCCACACTTTTAACCATATAAAATGACGTTGTGAAGGTAGACAGTGTAACTGAATAACAAAGTTTATGAGTATAAAACGATGACTGATCAAAATGGGTGGGGGTGTCGGTGTGGCGTCTGGAGAAAACACGCACACCCTCTTTACAGATAAGAGTTGTTTTTGTCTTGCCAGCCAAGTATACATAAAAAAAGAAATCTTGTCCGATGTTCAAAACCAATAATCTGGAAAGAATACATTCAAGAGTATCGATTAGTATTATGATGTGTCATGTAATAATTATATAAATTAAATTAGGTTACAAATAAACAATTATAGAAAGGAACGTTTTTAGAAAGAATTTTTCTCTTACATAACTATTTCTCCAACTCACATTATAAAAGAAAACAGCGAGGTAACATGTTCATCAAAATATAGAATAAATAGATATAATTGATTTTCTTAATGAATGTGTCTGACTACGGACATAATATATTTCTTAATTGCTTGATTTGAGATTTATTTTTAGCATTTTTTTTGTATATAGCAATGTAAGATAACTGATAAGAATTTAAAGAAAAAAGACTCAGTCAATCCTGTTGCATATAAAATTATATGAATCGAAATCACGTTTATTTAGTTGTGTGGAAAACTAAATAGGATAAAATGAGTATTAAGCATTGGGTCTAATCGAAGATTTACATTAAGCAAGAAAAATCTCTATTAACATTTAATCAGTCATTCGTATTTCAAAAACTAAACGTTTGTTCAATTTGATTGACTGATCCTGGCAATCATTTTACTGTTGAGTTTGTCTTCATTACAACTTGTTCTCTTGCCATAATTCCAATACGATTACTTGCATGATTTTGACGATAACAAAATAGAACAAGTCGTCGAAAATCTTTACGATAAGATGAAGCTGAGATAAGATACACATAGAAGTTCGATGCATAACTAACGTATAAAATAATATTTGCTACAGTATAGACTAATTGTTCTTGCGATAAACGATAATCTGATTTAACTATTGATGATGTTACAACTTGATAGATATTTATTATCGCAAATGGTATTATTGGAATCATAACTACAATAGTTTGTAAGAGTACCATTGAAGTTAAACCTCGTTGAAATGAACAACGTCGTTGGGTGCTATGTAACTTAGTTACATTACAATATGTTAGCCAACCGAATATAGCCAATATTGTACCAGGTAATATACTGAGAATAACAGGTCGATATATATAACTTACATAGATAAGCAGACCAGAATTAATAATAGAGCATGTGTGAGTAATTTTACCTGTGCCAGTTCGTACTTCAATTATTGTATAGAAAAGTAGAAGTGGTAGATGACCTATGGCAATCACGAGAACAGCTATGAAAATAATGATTTTTGCTGTGCTCAATTTACTTCTATTTCGCCATGTCACTCCTCGACATGATACAAAAAATCTGTCGATAGAAGCAAAACATAAGCATACAAAAGAGATTGTGGCTGCAGAATAGGAAATATAATAACGACACTTACACCAAATAATACTGGTCGATGTGGCATCTATATTAAAACTAAAGGATAATATTTTTGGAAGAAGACCTTCTGATAGTGTAATTATATTAAAAATTGATGAGACAAGCAAAAGAAATGAAGATGAATTGGATCGAGTTGAAAATAAAATATAAATATTGATTACATTTCCAATAATACCAAAAGTACATATGGAGAGACCAGCATAGATACTGAACTGGCTGCTTATGAATGAAAACAGTGTTGAAGACATTATATTTTCAAGAATAAATGTGTTTCTGTGCTTTACATATTAATATATTAATGCCCTAGATATCGAACAAAATATCTGGTATGACAATTGAAAACCTAGTTTGCTTTACATAATGCGCTATAGTGTCATTCTGTCAAAAAAACATCCAATTTAACAAAATTACCTGATGTTACATCTAGTAATGTTAAAACAGCAAAACTGATATACATATACAAAGGTGTTGACAGAATCATAATGATAAATATCGAATATTTTTGAGGAAAATGTTAATTTGTTTCAATATTTCAATGTAATTTCAAATGACCAAATCAAATACATGTCTCAGGGAAAGTAAAACTTTACCACAATTCGTTTTTAATTCAGCGCGAACCTACAAAATAATTTTCTTTAGTATAAAAATAAATTTTAATTTTCGTTTGTAGCAATAAAACAGCAAAACTTGATTTTTTAAGTTAGACAGAATACTCATTTTGAGTAATTCAAAGTGTTATCTTAGCACTAATATTGACATAGGAACATGAATTTCAAAAGTATTTTTTATGAGCAAGTCAATCAATATTTTACATTTTTGGACTATCAAATCTTCAAAAAAGACAGGAATCATTCTACAAAAGAGAATAGATAAGTTACAAAATTCTTCATTATTTTTGCTTGGAACATAATTTGATAACGAAAATACTACTCAAGAAGTATATACTTATAAATCCTTTCCTTTTTTTTTAATCGAAGCTTGTTAAAATAAACTATATATATTTCAATTGAATATACTGACGAACTTTGCAGCTTCTTAGATTTAACTCAATCTAAATTAAAGTTAAGCACAGCTTAATATATATCACAGTTGACGTAAAAGTGCAATTGGCTTTGACATGCGCAAAATAATTGAAAAACATTCTCTTAGAAAAAAAAATTATAATTGGAATAAAGCTTTACAAACTAGGTGAGTTAATTCATTTAGACTAGAGTTAATAAAATAAGAGTCACATTAAACACTACAAATAAAAAGTTTTTAATGTTTTCTTTTAATTTTGTGCGTGTATCTCTCTTATCAAAAGACCTGGCCCAAAATTTACCAAAAATGATTATTTATCGTGTGTAATCGTTTATATTAATTAGACAACACATTGAGCTTTCAATGACATTAACGCTGATAATCATTCATCATACTATTACATCATAATCAAAAGATATATATTTGGTGAAATACATTAATTCTTTTAACCACCGATCCATATCAACCCTCTGCATGTTAGAAACGATACTTGACAAACAAATTTTTTTCAAAAACTGCATCAATCGTTCAATACGCCTGTCTCCATTAAAAAAAAATTCATTTAATTATTTATATAATTTAAGAAAACAAGTCACATACATACCACGTATCGCATTATTATCATACTAAATAAAAATAGTCAAATATTGTTATCGATGATTAAAATTTCTCATCTATAAATCGATAATATTATCTAAGCATTCCCTAATCAAGGAAAACTAAAATTGTAACTAACATACTGTTTATTGAAAAGTTTATATTACTATGCTTAGTTTTGCTTCAAATTCAACTGTACCTGATACATATACATGTCGACACTATATCAGTTATTCAAAAAAAATTTGCATGTAATTGTATACATTGAATAGAGATCAGCACAAGTTAGGATCGTCATATGAATTCAGCTGCTTCACAGTGAATCATTTTGAAGTGATGAAACAGTGAACCAATGAGCTACCCACACTAAAAGTTTAAGATTCAAATAAGAGTAACGGAGAATCTGGAAATGACAGGATTAATTACAAGTTTAATTAAAAAAATAAATTGTGCTGCATCCATTAATATTTAGATTTAAAAGTTAACAGATATAACTCACATGTCGATCCATTAATATTTCTTTTGAAAGAAGTCTATAAGAAAAACTATACTTCTCATCTGTTACGATAGATAATAGAAATTGCTGTCGCATCCACACACCCATCCCTACAAACACAACCAGATGCATCCACATCCACAGGCACATCCTATACAAATATCCTATTCAGTAGAATTTTCATTTCTCTAGTCATCAAAAAAGTAAATATATTTCTCCAGAGGAGCTATCAAGACCTAAACAACTATAATATAGAACAATAAAACTAAGATTTTAGTCAGTATTCCTCCATTTCAAACAATTTCATCTGATCTGTCGAATAATAGAACAGCAAGTTCATATTGGCTACCGGATGAGTTGTCGAAGAAAATAGGTATGTACACTATATATCACATCCCAGCTTCATGTACAATCAAAAAATTCAGCTACAATCATAGTATGTTATTCTTCACCGACATAAGGTAATACTGATTGTGAATTCAACTGCATCATCGAGAGATAGGAAAATCTTTTCGTTTCTATTAAGATGCCAATTTCTACTCCTTTCTCCTAAACTTGAAGCTTTCTCTACCTCTTCCTTTAATAAATGATCTAGGAAACTGGTGATCGTGCTCTATCGCCTTACATATTACATTTCACGACTGCCATAAAATCCAAAATTCAGAGAATACACTTAGCAGTTTTCATCTGCAATCTAACTCAAACTTGAAAGAGAATATTTCACTTCACGTCTTTAAAACCATAATGGGATGTAATCAGCTACCATTTAGTTTACCCTCTTGTCATCAGGGCTCTATATCTAATATGTAACAGCATTATCGAGAATCGACGATCCACTTTTTCTCAGCAAACAACACAAATAAACACAGAAATAAATGCAATCATTCTGATTGTGTTAAACTTTTATCTTTCTTGAATGTGCTGAAGAAACCAGTCTATTCTTCTGATGTTCCATTCGATATCTCTGCTATAGTATTACCAAAAAAAATACAAAATCAGAGATTTTGTTCCTTCTTTTATTCTCTTCTCATCATTAGGAAGCAACGTTCCTGATTTTTTTCACACAGACATTTACCACGCTTGATCTTTAGTATAAACAAATCGGCAATCTCAGAGCACAATATATCGCTGATGCCTTACGGCAAAATACGGTAAGCCTCATTCTTTCTACATCTATCTCTAGAATAGGTTCCCTTTTTTCCGTACACACACTCATCACACTTGAGCTACAGTACAATCGAATGGGACGCGAACTCTTGAGGATGTGCGTGTGGGTGTGAATTTACTTGAGAAGGCAACCAAGATGCATCCACATCCAAATATCATTGAATTTCAAGTCTTTCTCTACTCCAAAGAGGACTCAACAGGGTCTAGTCCGTACCATTCAAGATAGAAACCTTGCGAAGCCTCTCATTAGTCCAAACAAAACTATGTCTTTTACTGGCAAAATGGGACAAAATATTTGCTAAAATCTGATGGATTAAAATGAACAAGATGCTAGACAATTAGATTTGAACTAGGATTTTCTCCAATAGTGTCAAAAGAAAGAGTATTGGTCTCTGAACTAAATATCTGGTGTCAAGAATTCTTTTCTCAGTGGATCAAACAAAACCATGCTGAATCTTTCTTGAAATAGAAAGAAACTTGAGAATCGACGATAATTTTCTAACACAATATGATCAATTCATGCTAATATAACGAAATTGATTGATAACTATTCATCTGATTTATAAATCTTAAACTTAAGTAATAATACTTACTTTTAAATTAAAGAAAATGATTCATCCGTGTAACAGACTATGAGCAACTTCAATCGATTCAATCAGTACCCTTATATAATGTATAAATAAAACAAACTACAAAGTCATATGAACCTTTTTTGGGTGTGGGTGTGGGTGTGAGTGTGGGTGTGGATTCTCCATTCATCTAGTCTTACACCCACCCTCATCCACACCCCACACCCCACACCCACACCCACACCCACACCCACACCCACACCCCACACCCACCCACACCCACACCCACACCCACC